ATTCTGCCAAAAGCATCCTTGATTATAGCAACTCGAGGTTTGAATGTTTTCTTCAGATCCTTGAGCTTAAGAAATGCTGAACGAGTTCGGCCCTTTTGATTTTCTGACTCCAACTCCTTGCACATTTCATTGTAATATTTTACTTTGTCATCCAATGCTGCCTTTTGAAATATTCTATTCAACTCTTTAGTTCTCAATAGATACTAAAAAAGAAAAAAATTCTAGAAAATACCAAGTAATCTGTAGTGACAGGATGTAGATTAATGACTGCCTTGGAGGAATTGCCAAGAGGTGAAAGATATCTTTTGGAACGATGGACATATTTGCCATCTCGATTGTCGTGATGTTTTCATGGACATGCATGTCTCAAAATTTGGCTAACTATACACTTTAAAGGGGTACAGTCCACCCAGCAACAAGACCAAAGTTCAACAGGGCAGCCAACAACAAATGCTGGCGAAGTTGTGGAAAGATTGGAACCCATTTTCACTGCTGATGGGAACAGTCTGGTGCTTTCTCAAAAAGTTAGAAATAGAAATACCATTTGATCCATTAATTCCACTACTGGCAACATACCCTAAAGAAACCAGAGCCATGACTCAAACAGATATATACATACCCATGTTTATTGCTGCGTTTCTCACAATTGCAAAGAGATGGAAACAACCCAAGTGCCCATCAACAAATGTATGGCTAGAAAAACTATGGTACATCCACACAATGGAATATTATGCAACAATGAAAAACAATGAACTCAGAAAACATTATACAACATGGGGAAGCCTGGGGGGACATTATGCTGAGTGAAATATCTCAGACACAAAAGGACAAACAAATACTGCATTATAACACCACTGTTATAAAATAGGACAGACATTGGGGCAAGTTTGGGGAGAGAGTGGGAAAAGAGTGGATAGATAATGAACATTGCAATAAAACAGATGAAGGGAAGAACTTTCCAAAATGAATATATGATTAGGTATTATGTGTATGAGAACAATCTGAAACAAGGGGCGCTCTGCAGGGTGGACTAGGGGAGGGGGAGGGAAGGAAGGGAAGAAAATATGTAACAATGAATTTTTAAAAGGTATGAAGTCTAATATATACTAATTATGAACTGATAAAACTTTATTAAAAAATGAAAAGAGAAGAAACCCCTAATCTGTGTAGAGTTCTTAGGATCGTGTCTGGTGTTTGACATTTCTACTTTGAAAGTTGGCTTTTTTTTTAATGGACCATATAGGAGTCAGTTGGGAAGGCTACCTGGCAACACCTCCCCTCTTCCTGGCATCCTCCCTATCCTCCTTCTCTCTTGATAGGTTAAGAGAGAGGACCTGGTGATATGCAGATCAAAAGCCACGAGCTGTTCCTTTTCAGTAGAATCCTGCTGCCCTCTCGTGGCAGCCGGGAGCAGAGCAGGCTGCGTCTCCCCTGTTGTCTCGCACCACCCCACCCCCTGCTCCCTCCACTCCTGGCTCTCAGTTCAGCCAGTAAACATCGATCCACTCCTTCTTTCATCAGTCTGACCATCCATTCATCATCATCCACTGGCCCGGATGCTAGACGGTGTTGGTACTTAGAGCCTCCAACATAAAGGTGAGCTTTCCATGTGGCATACCCATGCCCCCCTGGGAGTCCCCCAGTGTCCCTGACCTTCTAGCACATGACGTCTTCCAGGAGGTGCAGGATGGAGGTGGGAGCAAAGACAGCAATAAGACACAACCTAGTCCTCCTTGGCACCCTTCTCAGTAGTGCTTTCACCCACCACCTCCCATTCTCCTTACTTCCCCTCTGACCCCGCAGGGTCTCCCTGTCCCAACCCTCACAAAAGTCAGTGAGGGGGCTGATGCCAACCGAGCATTCACCACTTCCACCAAAGTGTGCATTTGAAATAACGCATATATATATAATTTTTTTTTAAGTCAGTGAAGTGTTCATGGCTGTGTCTCTGTGGACAGATGGATTAACACCCTCTAAAGAGACTCAAGGACTGCAGCCTCCAATATGAATTGAGGCTCAATGTCAAGAAGACAAAGATTCTCACCACTCGGCCAATTGGCAGCATCAGGATGAATGGTGAAGAGATTGAGATTGTTCACAGCTTTAGTTTGCTTGGCTCCACAGTCAACACTGTTGGCACCAGCAGCCAGGAAATTAGAAGACGTACTGTCATGGGAAAGTCTGCTGTTAGGGACCTCTCCAAAGTACTGAAGAGCAATAGTGTCTCTCTGGAGACTAAGGTGCGCCTGATACAGGCCATGGTCTTTGCAATCACTTGTTATGCATCAGAGAGTTGGACAATGACCAAGGAGGATAGAAGGAGGAGAATTGATGCCTTTGAGCTGTGGTGCTGGAGAAGAGTATTGAGAGTATCATGGACTGCTAGGAAAACAAATAGCTTCATCCTGGAAAGGGTCAAACTGGGCTGCTCTGTGGAGGCAAAGATTCTAAGGCTCCATCTGACATACTTTGGACATGTTGCAAGGAGGGACAAGTCCTTGGAGAGGGTGGAGGGACAGCACAGAAGGGGAAGGCCCCCTATGAGGTGGATTGATTCAGTGATTGGGGTAATTGGGATGGGTGCATCCAAGACAGTGCGATTGGCACACGATAGAGCAGGGTTTAGGGCTGTTGTACATAGGGTAGCTATGAGTCGCAAGCGACTCGACGGCACATAACAACAACAACAACAAAGAGACTCGAGTGTGTCATCACAGTACAGGGTTGGGGAGGGGACACGCTCTCTGTGAGGACAAACTGAGCCACACACTGCCCTCCGGGGTAGGTGGTGGCAGATCTGA